TGTGTGTGTGTGTGTGTGTGTGTGTGTGTGTGTGTGTGTGTGTCTGTGTGCGTGCATATGTTTGTGTGTGTGTGGGTTGACTAATAAAGGTAAGGAAAATACGCGTGGACCGTGTGAATAGAAGTCTGTGTATGCATATTCATATTCATGCGTGCGTATGTTTTTCTGCGTTATACCTGGCGATCGCTCTACTTACTGACCTACAAACATTTCAAGACGCCCAGAGCCCTGGGACTGCTGGAGTTGTGTTTGAGACATCATGGTGAAATCATGCGCTCTTCAAACTATTGAGCACGGAGAAACAGGCATTATTCCTCTCGTGCTGCAATTTTTATCCATGTTTTTTCTTTGGATGAACGCCTTATCTGTCTATTTAAAAACACATTTCTGTTTGAATTTTACAGAAAACCGTTGGTTAAAAGTACAAAAAACAGAAAACTTTCTGTTTCAAAGGACTGTCAAGCTTTGGAAATCTCTGAACTTTGGCGGCCATTTACTCGCTAATTTTATCTCTGAGATCAGGTGACCCAACCTCTTTCAATAAATAATGTCTCGAATTCTATTCAAGACTAGATGGATCTTTTTTTCACTGAAAGCAAGACAGATGAACAAGCTTTAAAATGATACCAATAACTCCACACGTCAAAACATGACGAGAACGTGATTCCACCGCGTTGGTATAAATATACTATTATAAAAGACCGTATACTTATATAGTTTTGGATACAATTGAGTTATCGATTTCACTTGATAGTTTACAACACGGCACATATTTGTATTGTCTAGTATCGATATCTAAAGAATAGAGGCGGGAAAGGAGTTTTGGGGATATTCATGGAAACTAGCTAATGAGAGGTAACAACGTATAAGGGGGGGGGGGTGGCTCTCTTGAACATTTTACGATATCCGATATACTGCCTTTAAAAATAAAACTCCAGACTGTTGCACACAAGGAAAAACCTGGGCCCAGGAACGAGCCCACCTGTAACGTCTCGCCAGACATAGAAAGGCGCGACTTTTCTCTGATGGAAAGGTCAGTAGGGAATGGGGATGTTGGACCTTGCCATTATCTCTGTTTCTGTTTTTTGCTTTATCTGTCTCTCTGCCAATCTATCTTGTCTCTCTCTCTCTCTCTCTCTCTCTCTCTCTCTTTCTCTATCTTTCTCTCTCTTGCCCTTGCCCTGTCTCTGACTTTGTCTCTCTCTCTCTCTCTCTCTCTCTCT